TAAGCCCTAAACCCTAAATTTCTAGAGTTCGTCCCAAGTTTGATAATAACGTTAGCAATCGTGGACTTTGCTGTTGGTTGTTGGAGGTGCAGGAGAGTCTACTTTCTTGGTGATTCTAGCTGGGTATCCTTCTGAAATTTGAGAAACTCCCGAGATTCTGGGTATTTTTTTGTAAGTGGCAAACCCTTCCAACATCTGCTTCATGCCCAACAACCTCCTCTTGCAGCCCCTTGACAAAAGGCACCCTAAACCCTCAGATCCTGAAGCTCTAACTAAACCCCTAGACCCAAAAGCCCGCTAAGACCGTTATAAAACCCGTTGGATGAAATACCCACATGGTATCTACAATTCTATCAAGACTGTATTCTCGCTTCCCCAGCAGCGACTTCGTAGATGTGTAGAAACCCTAAACCCTAAACCCGGGCTTGGGAGCGCCAGCAATAGAAAAGGCCTTTAAAAACAAAAAACAGCATATGCCCGAAAGGCACTGGACTGGGAGACACAGCTGCTGGGCGTGGGGGAGGCGGTGCCCGCACGGCCCCTTCGCTTGGCAGTCCAGCAGGGTTTTTGGTTTAGGGTTTAGGGTACTATTATTTGTGTTGCTTGCTCTATTGTCTTAGGGCTTCGTAGGGATGCTAGGATTTTCAGATTTAGGGTACGTTAAACCCTAGCGCCAGAAAACCCCAGCTGCGGCTTGAGACTTTTAGGGGTATCTGTAGTTATGATGGTAAAACCTACAATAACACTATATACTGCAGTACTACCGGCAACAACAACGATGTTACATCATCACAGCTACCGACGACAGCCAAGTCCAATACTAAGGACACTTCTAGCTAATAACGCTTTAGCAAATTCGAATGCTCCTACAAGAATGACCAGCATCGTCACGACGATCATCATCGTCATCACCATGGTCATGACCGTCATGATCATCACCAGGATCATCATAAACCTAGCCAGCCCTTTGCATAAAGATTAAGAGCGGTGCTAACAACAGCAATAGAAAACAGCACTCGCAGTAATAGTAACCATAGGGGTAACATGAAAACAAAAGCAATATTGAGACTCCTAAATATACTAATGTATACATCACTGATAGTCATAGTTTTGGTCATCGACTAAGAGGAGCAATGTAATGTAGTTGCTTAGTTCCATTGCGGTGTAATATTTTGCGAACAAGTCTTTGTTCTGATCACCGGGGCCCCTATAGTAAATAGTCTTCCCGCCCAACAGCATCCCCTGTAGCGGCCCTATAGTATGCCTTGCTTTGTCTAAACCCTAAGTAAACCCTAAATCCCAAGCCCTAAGCCTTAAACCCTAAATCCTCAACCCTGAACCCTAAACCCTATAGCACGCCTTGCTATGCCAGGCCGTTAGTCATGCAGGTCGGCGACACCTTGATCCTGGAGGTCCCACAGACCGACCAGAGCGGGGAGTACAGGCGGGGAGTTGTTGTTGGGTTTCGGGTTTCGGGTTTAG